AGTTCCATTTGATAGTTGGCCTGAAACAGTTTACATTTTGCTTATACATATTGTAATTATAATTAATACATTGGTTTAGTAACTAGTTTGATCCACAGAATTAGCAGCTTTTAAACAGATGTAGAGCTTAGTTTTTATACATAGTATGTTACAAGTAAGCTGTTGTTAAAAGATATCAACACATTCTGAAAATCATTTATCAAGTAAGTAGAGTTATAAACTCATAAAATGATTTGCCTGATGATGGTACAGCAGATTACAAGCTTTATTAATATTTCAACAAATGCTAAAGCTAGCATTACATTTTGCTGAATACTAGGATTTTCAGCAGTTTCATTGTTTAACAGATTATAATTGTTATGGTATGAATGCCTTTTCCAAGCTAGTGAAGCATAATTATAGTTATTTATACTTGTCATAAGACAGGTCTCGATAGATATTTTCAGATCTAGGAGCCAGGTCTAATATAGAAAAGTTATGGAACATGTTTTGAGTTGGTTGTGTGATTATGGTAATAGACGCAGTTTTACACTAAAAAACAAAGGGTTCATTATTAAACTTTATTAAATATGTGCAATTATTAAAATCATGAAAGTAAAATAAAAATAAGGACTGTGATATCCATAAGCCAAGCAAGTTGTTTCAGAATAGGTCTAATCTCTCATCACTACTTCACTGTACAACGATAAGCAAAGGCCTTTTTTGTGCCTAACCTAACTTCACTACTGTTTGTGGTGGGAAGTGGGAGCTATACTTATGTACTTTCACAATAACAAGTGCATGGTAACAATCACATAATATCAACAACCACTTGATAGTATTGCCTGAACTAACTGCCTTTGGTCCTGTCTGAGTCTAAACACATGCACTGATTGGTTGAATTGAAAGAAAGAAGAAATGCAAAATGGAGCTAAATTAGTAATGTGTTGTGCAACTACAATGCTTCATTTCAGAAGAAATATGATGTGCTGAATCCACTGTTAAAATCCAAGAAACAAAGTGCGATTTAGGACTCAAAGAATGCAAAAATAGTTCCAGACTTCCAAGAGTCCAGAATTGTTCTAGATTCGAGTTCTATTTAGCACATCCCTATACACGAATAAAATGGGAGAAATTACTATGTACCATAATGAAATTTTTATTTGCCATATTGACCTGGCGCACAGGATTTGTGGAGTCCTGTCATAAGATATTAGTATTATGCATATATATTTTAACACTGCATTTTTTATCGAGTAGAGCTTATAATGATTATGCTCTTATTATACTCTTCTAATTCTTGAAAATCTCTTAGAGACTAGGTAAAGAATGTATTGTTCAAAATTATAATAGGTCTAATACTATTGTCTTATGACAAGTGTAACAGATTATAATAATTACTTATTTTTAATAGTAATAAAACTACTGTAATGCTTTTGTAATAAAACAACAACTTAACACCACGATATTGATTGTCTTTTATTTCTTCCCTTATGCTAGCTGCTTCAAGCTTCCCAAACTGGAAACTTTGGAGGCTTCAACAATGTTCAACAGCCAGCAGGAGGTGAATGTTATGGTAGGAATTTACTCTTCTTCTGTGCACACTGTAAACAATTATGGTATTCTTAGAAATTTCAAATTTCTTACCTTTGTGTGGTAAACTTGTTGATGGGTTGTAGTTTTGGAAAAACAAAACAAGAGCCCCCACCCCACCATTCCTTCAGTGAGCTTTATTCACCAAACTTCCTCCATCATGAAAGAACAACAATCACACATTGTGCTACAATAACTAATGTTTAGAAAAAGCCCTGAATTACAAAATACGTTAATTTTGAGTCACTTTGTTTCTTCAAGGAAATTTTTCTTTTATTCCTGATCACTAACTATAAAAGGTTTATTCCCTTTGTCACTCTGTCAAGAACACGTTCACACTTCTTTTTTAATAATGCTCAATAATATACATCATTGCTTAGCAACAAAACTCACCTGATTGTTCTTAGCCAATCTATGGTGTTTATGTTGAATGCTCAATATTTATATTGATTTGTTTTTTATTCTTTTTTTATTTATAACTTTGGTGATATAATGGCAAAATAGTTTAATTCAGAAGTTTAATGACGTTGAGTTGTAGCCCAAAGCAAAATATATTTTTCCAACTAGTGTTTCAGCTAAGCCTTACGTTACATTTATGTATTAAATAGGCCTACTATCAGTAATGTTATAGAGTCAGTGTTAAAATGTTTTGAGTGGTGAATAAATGTTAATTAACAAATATTCTTTTGGTATTTTTCACACATATTGGCCTTAAATCATAAACAAAAATAACTTTTATTACTACCAAATATCTTTTATCGTTTGTACAGTCAAAAGAGCTCAACATTTGTGTTGAAATGTCCACACTGTATTCTACTTCCTGATCTAGAATACAGTGAAAAGTCTCAAGAATGCTATTTAAGTCTGTTTCAGAGTGCAGACTTTTTACTTTAGTTCACAATAACATTTGATTGTTCTGTGTAGTTTTTAACAAAAATGTAGTGATTAAAGAAATACTTTGAGATTGATGAAATAAGTGAAGAGTAGATGCATTTTGGAGGTACAGACAAGTTTGTTTTAGTTAAATTCTATAACTTTTGTTACTCATTCAACAGTGGTTTACCATCAATTTTGACAGGCTTTTATACTAGCATAAATATAAAAAGTTTGGAACAAAAAATAAAATTAAAGAAGAGAAAAAAATAGTGTTAAATCTATATACTACTAAAACTATGAGATTGTTTGTTTGCTTGTCTGTAATTAAATACAGCAAAAATGGCACACAATAGCCCCATTTCTAATGAAATGAGAATTGAAACAGAATAAAACAAGTTTCGCTAAAATCGGGCCATGGGTTACCGAGTTTGTGCCGTTTTTCGGGTCACTTTTATGAAAATTTCTAGCATGAGTAATTTTACATCCCACTACCATTTGCGCTCTTCACAAAACTTCTTCGTTCAAATCTATTTCCCTGTCAATGTTCCCATCTTCATTAAAAGGTGTAAGATGACAAAAACAAGATCTTGAAGAATTTCTCAATAATGTGCATTGGTTATGGTAGGTAATTATGGTTTCTTATTTGTAGAAGGTTTAAGAGGAAAGACCAAAACATAATGAACTAATTCATCACAATACCTGAAAACTCTAACTTCACGTTTTTGAAAAATGAAATGGTCTTTCCTTTTACTCCTGATCAACAATCAAATATATTTTCCTGAATTATAAATAACACGAAT